AATAATAATAATAATAATAAAAGAAAATCACATTTTTTCCATGCGAAAACGTGACGATTGTGTATATAAGTATATATGTATATCTCAAATGAAGAAACAGATGTGAAACAAGAAAAAAAAAACGAGAAATAAATAATTAAGAAGAAAGAAATAAAAAGTAGAGAGGTAGGGAGGGAAGGAGAGAGAGAGAGAGAGAGAGAGAGAGAGAGAGAAAAAGTGCTAAATTTTCAAATTAACAAACGTAATAAATTGAAAAAATGAAATAAGTTGTAATAATAAAAAGAACTGGTAAAAAAAAGAAAAAAAATTCATAATGAAAGAATAAATGAGAATGAGAAAAAAAATGTAAAATGAAGCCGATTGTTTGAATCGAATATTAAAATCAATCTAATAATATATACACGCATTTTAATTCGAATAAAAAATGATATGGCTCGGTCGAAATAATAATAATGTTTTTTTTTTTCTCTCGTATGTGAATGTCTCGATGGTGGTATAGGAAATGATTTTATCGATGGGCACGTTTCGCGTGTATATAATGAGGGGACCGTTTAGTTCACATATACGCCGCGAAAGTGTTGGTTTTCGCGAGGCATATATAATTAAAGTTATATGTCAATTAAAGATTATATAAATATAGATACATAATACGTATGTATAAATACATATAAACATATATACATAATAATATATATATAATAATAATAATTTAATTAATAATATAAATATAGAAATACTAAAAAATCCAGCAACGCGCGCGCGCGCGCGCACGATAGCAATTATATATAAATATATTATAAATAAATACATACTTGTATATATAGTATGTATTAAAAGAATTTAAAAAAGAATATTTAATGAAGGGTTAAGTTTTATTGCATCATTCAAAAAAAGTAAATACATTATTATAATATAAATAATTAAAGGAAAAAAAGAAATGATGGGGTTGAACAACAATGCAGGAGAAACAAAAAAAATTAAAAATAAAATTGCGTACAATCATGCGTGGGATGACTGTTTAGGTAATCCTAGTGATCATTTTAGAGATTCTAGATTATAATAATAATAATAATAATAATAATAATAATAATTCGTGCGCGTTTGTATGTGTAGACGACTTATAATGTTTAGAAAATGATAAAGAAAATAATAAGGTTATAACAAGAAGAAAAGAAAGAAAGCAAAAAAAAGGATGAAAATTTAAATAAATAAATAAATAAAAATAAGTTAAAAGAAAATAATATATATATATACACACACACAGCTGCACATACTCGTCCTCGCTATTTTATTTGATTAATGTTTTAAATAATATAATAAATGGTGTATAAACCGTGCCGATGATTACATGCATATGCAATCGCAATAATAATGCAATAACGACAATCTTCGTTGTTGTTAGTTCCAAAATGTTTATTATTATTGTCATTACTATTATTATTCAATTAATTTCATATAAATAAGTGACTTAATTGATTTATTCATTAATTCATTAATTCATTCATTCGAGATATGACCACTCGTAGGACAAATTAATTTAAAACAAAAAAAAAAAAAGAAAAAAAAAGAAAGAAAAAGGAAATAAGTAAATAAAAATAATTGAATTTCAAATCGATTATTTATGCGTACCCCTCTATCGATTATATTATCTTTAACATACTCTCGCTTGAGATCTCGATTCTTTCTATAACGAAAAAAACATATTTATTAATAATAATTATTAAAAGGAAAGAAAAAAAGGAACGCGTATGCACATGAGAGAGATTTTATGTATCGATGGAAGAAAATTTTCACAAAGAAATTACGATTAAATAAAAAACATGTTCACGCTTTACATGTATATGTAAGTATACGTGTATATATATATACTTATTTTAATTTGTCGAGAGCTCGTCGTCAAGATCGTTGTATTTCCCAAGAATTATTTTTTGGATATAATAGTATGTGTGTAAAAATGGGCAATACAATGATTCCTCAAGCGAGAGAAATAGAAAAAGAAAGACAGAGAGTGAGAGAGAGAGAGAGAGAGAGAATGAGAGAGATAATTAATGGTAAGATAGAAAATGAGCTTCAAACGATTAGAAAAATGTAGAATGAGAGACTGTTATCAATAGTGCATAAATGTAAATTAAATAACAAGAAAAAATTGATTAATAGATTACATCGAGGATCGTGTAAATGTGAAAATGTCTTATAAGAAATATTCATATCAATGAAGAAGAGTAATAAAACAATTATAAAAAAAAAAAAAATCTAAAGAAATAAAGAAAAAAAAGAGAGAGAGAGAGAGAGAGAGAGAATGATTGTGTTTGTAAGAAAAACAACTATTGTTAAAGAAAATATTAAAAAATATGGTCGACAATTTTGAACAATAGAACGCAAAGAAATTTCGATAACGTTTGTTCGAAGAATTTGAACTATCGATTAAATATATACTTCGATCAATAATAACAAAAAAATTACGCGAAAACAGAAGAAACAAAAAGAAGCTGATACGAAAATGAAAAAAAAAAAAAAAAAAAAAAAAAAAAANTTAAAAAATATGGTCGACAATTTTGAACAATAGAACGCAAAGAAATTTCGATAACGTTTGTTCGAAGAATTTGAACTATCGATTAAATATATACTCGTTGCTATTCGTAGAATCTAATCTGATTAAATCTGGCACTTCTGGTGAACTCTGTAACAAAAAAAAAAAAAAAGAAATAATATACAAGCTTTCAACTACTTTTTATTATATCGTAAAAATCATCTTCTCTTTTGTCGGATTCTATCGTAAACAATTGTATTTGAATTTCTCACCTTATGAAAGAAGGAAATGTTGGTTGACGACGATGACACGATAGCTTGCTTTCTCGAAATTCGCTTGCGCATTTAAAATTAAAGATAGGTAAATAAAAAAGAATGAAAAATAGAAAGTTAGGAAAAAAGAGAGAGAAAAAAAAAAAAAAAGAGTCTAAAACACACATTTAATAATATCATTGACAATATTAATTATCCACCACGGGAGATCTAAAATAGAAATGTAAATTTAATGACCATTGTGCGGGTTGAATTATTTTTTATTCTTCGTTAATTAAATAAAAAAAAAAATGAATGAATATAATTGAAAATAAAGAAGAATCAGATCGAAGGAAACGAAGAATACAAACACCATGCATACACACACGTATATATATATATATATATATATATATAAATCAATTTTAAATATAATGTGGTGTGGGCTATATCAATTATTTTTTATTAAATAAAAATATTTCCAAATTTTTACGGATTAGAAATATTGATCACTTTTTCGAAATCTTTTAGGCAAACCATTTGTTTTAAATTATAAAACTATGAGCTTAGCTTAATAACATTTACAACCTCTTTACTATGATCCTAAAATAACAGGAAAAAAAATAATGAATTATTAGAATCACCTATGAATTTTTGTGACCCATCTTCTATATATATTAAAACAAAAACAATATATACATGTATGTGTGTGAAAATTTATATTACTCGTTGTTGATCGGAAAAAAAAAAAACATCGTTGAAATCGTTGATCATCCCGCACAATGTGATTGTCCATTAAAAGGCCTATCGTAAATAAAAAAAAAAAATAAAAAAAGAAACCATGAATAATAAGGAATCGCGATGTTAATTAATAATTTTTCATAATAATGAATAATATATTGTACTTAAAATGATTTCATTTAAGCGTCTCTCATGGCGCGCGAAACTTTTGTCATCACCACACATACACACACACATAAATACACACACAACTTATGCATACACATTAAATAATAAAAAAATTATTTATCATATTTAAAAACGAAGGACTCACGTGTTCGATCGAAGCAAGAACGTTCGAATAATAAAAAATGAAGTGATTTGTATAATTGGAAATATAATTAAATATACAAATGCAAATGTTATCATTATAAATTATTACTAATAATATTGATATTTAAATAAGATTTAAGTTAAACAAACACATATTATTGCTTTATTATTATTAATATTATTATTATTATTCTCATTATTCTCATTCGAGCATTCAAGTTTCATTCGCATTTGTTAGCCTTCGAATAAATCTCGTTTAATTGTACGTATGTAAAAAAAAAAAGTGATAGAGAGAGAGAGAGAGAGAGGGAGAGAGAAAGAAAAAGAAAAAAGAAGAAGAAGATGAAGAAGGTACAAGCGCGAATTTAATAGTTAAATAAATAAAATTCGTATGTATACGTAGGGAAAAAGTTAATTGTTAAAATAATTGAAGAAGATAGGACATAACGGAACATAAATAATATATAATTAATAAAAAAACAGCTAATATCGATCGATACTCGTTTCAATAAAATATTTAATCGAAAAACAGCAACAACAAAAACGATGAAAATTGAATTTAAACATCACGTTCGTCGTTTTGTTCGAACGTGTTCGAACTATTTTAAAATAAAAACATTATAAAAAAAAATAAAAATAAAATAGAACGATAACGAGAACGATTATACATGTATTAATATTATAAATAATTAAGTATATAAAAGAAACTCTCAAAAAAAGAAATATTACAACAATAACAACAAGAATAAGAAACAAATTGTAAATTATCGTAGTAATTTCGAAAAATGTCCGCCTTATTATAAATCATGAATATGAAAAAAGGAAACTGCGAAGATGAGATGTTACGATGATTGAAAATTTATTCACACGCGATTCCATTAAAAAAAAAAAAAATATTAATCCCCTCCTCAAAAGAAAAAAAAAAGGAAAATAAAATATAAAAATAAAAATGCAATTAAAGTAAAATATAAATAAAGTAAAAAAAAAAAAAAAGTATCGCGCGTATCGTCGCTATGTAAATATATTATTACACAATGATTAAAAAAAAGAAATAAAAAATCAAAAAAACGAAATATAACAAACAAAGAAAATAGGGGAAAAAGTTGCAAATGAGAGACGATGAAAGAACAGAAAAGAAAAGAATAGAGAAATAACCTGGAGCTCGTGTTTAGCTGAACAAAAAATGTTGTAAATATGTCTTAACGATATTATTATATTTTTGCTTGTGATAATCGATTAGAAATCCGAGAAAAACAAAATTTTACAGAGGAAGAGCCGTGCGTGCATTCCACCAACAACATCATTGCATTATATTCTTTTAATTTTTTCCTTTTTTCATTCCCTACTTATTTAATCATTTAATTTGTTCTCTTCTATTATTAATTAGTTAAAAAATATTTATTTAGTCTCTTTTCCTTCTCTGTCTCTCTCACTCTGTTTCTCTTTCTCTCTCCCTTTCGCGTGTTAAAGTTATGCGCACGTTGTTTCTGCCGGATATAGCATTTTGCTATTTTTCCGCAATCATCGTTAATTAATATTTGTATATATATATATATACATATATATATGCATATATATAGTGCCGAAACAAAAATATATAGAAATAAAATAAAATTCGTTCTAATAACATTCTTTTACATTAGTAAATCTATAAAAAAAAAAAGAAAAAGACTTTTTATGCACTTTTGTTTGTTTTGTAAAATTTCAAAATGATAAATTTTCAAGTATAGCATATAAATTCTAAGTAATGAAGATTAAATTGATCTGTAAATGAAAAAAATGTTAAAGAATGTATCTTTGATTAATTTTAAAACTAACTTTTAGAATGTTATAAGAAAATTTAGTATTTGCTAATTTTATTCAGCACTGTATATACATATATACATAAATATATATAGTATATATATATATATATATATATATCAGGAATCGAATGCACGACCGAGTTCATCTATGATTTAAGTGGAATTTCGATTCCCCTTTTTATCAAAATCCTTTTATAAAAAGAGAGCACGTTAAATCTGAACCGATGAACCGTAGACATTTTGTTTTTTTATTAATATTTTAATATGCCTCTCTTTCTATCTCTTTCTTATGGTATAGCATTCTCTTACTTATTATTTATTTTGCCTTTTTCCTATTATTTATTTGCTTTTATTTATATATTTATTTAATTATATTTTCTCGGCCGTGCTTCGAAAACGAGCTCTCTCGCACACATTAAAAAACATTGTAAAATTTAGCGAAAATATATTATATTATATTATATAAATAAATATATACGAATCTTCGGTTCAGAAATAACATCAGACAAACATACGTATACACACGCATCCATAAACATAAGCACACATGACAAGTATCTGCAATATCATATGTGGCGAAGTATACATATAGTTATTTAGTATCAGATATTTTATTATATATTAGCATAATTCAAATAACGTACTCGAGGAGAAAATTAAATAAAAAAAGAGAAGAAAAAAAGGAAACCAACAACAAAAACAACAATCGATAAGAGATCAGTTAGATATTATCATACAGCAATCTTTTTGCTTGTTTTATCAATATTATGATATTATTATTATTATTATTATTATTATATATTATAAAGATATTATATATATATATATACATACATATAAATATATATATATATATATAATTATTCCTAAATAATAAATATTGGAGTTTATTGCTAAATTGTGCAGTAAATTTTATTACAATTTTGCAGGTTCCTTATCAGTCATATTCTCTTTTATTATATATGCTTTGTTAACGGTAAAGTTAGGAGTACGCTGTATCAGTTTATTCAACCGAATATCATACTATTTGTATACATAGGATTATATATTATTATTAATATTATAATTATTTACATATTTCAAAGACTAATTATAATAATTTCTATTATTTATCACTTTTAAATCACTTGGTGGAGACACGGGTACGTTTATTCCATGAAAAGTTAGATCCGTATGAGCGCGGTTTTGGATCAACTTTGTTTGGCTTTTGAATGTAATATTTCCAGCCCATTTTTTCGCAATGCAAGACAGCTGCTTCTTTGGTAGCAAAATCAACTTTTAAATTCGACTGTGGATCTCCCCTTAATAGAAATATTATTTGAATTCGATAACACACACATTTAAATCATTGATTTAACTACGTTAGAAATCATTTCTATTAAATAATGAAATATTGTAATAACTATATGGATTACTTACGACGAAGTCCATCCAATTAATGGATTTTCCCAACGTTCACGTGTTTCAAAATCTATTTGCCAGTAATTTATGTTGTTGGTTCCAGATTGCATGGAATTCTTAGGTGGTTGGTAAATACGTACCATGCGAGTTTTAATATGTTCTTCGGGTACACCTGACACTATACCAACGTCTTCTGTAATTGGCACAACAATATTTTCTCTGATAAATTGTTTAGACGCTGGTACGTATGGATCATTCTGTATGCATGAACTCAATGATTTCGGATAATAATCTTTAGTTTTCTTTTCTTCGAATCCATCTTCTTCTTTCAATTTTATGCTACTCGTTGAAAATAATTTCATAAATCTGCAAAAACGTTTAAGGATAATGTACAAAAAAAAAGGGATAATAATATTTTAGAGTTATGTAAAAATATGAGGTTATGATTATTAAATCGTGTCACAAGTAAATGATACAAATTAAATGTCATTTAATTTGAATTTACCGTTCATTCCCATTGTCACTCAATCCATTCGTGCATCTTCGTAATAACGCACGATACGCCATTTTTTTTTGCGAGTAAATTTAAACTAATTCTCGATCAGCGAAACAACATAAATGAATGAATACATTGATCAATCTCGAATTTAGATAGAACTCGAACTGAAGTTAGACGATTGCGTCTCGTATCGTTGATCGAATCTATCGTATTTTACGCGCGAAATTTGAATTATCTTATTTCTGTTCGGTGTTACCCTTAACAAGAATTACATACATAAAAATTAATTTAAAAAACAAATCTATTTTCGTATATTTCAATTATTGTTATTGAACCTAATTAATGTTAAATAAAAAAACAAACAAACAAAAGAAGAAAATAAAAATAAAATGAATAAAACGATTTTGTGCTCGCAAAGTGTAGTAAATTATTGAAACGATTGTTTAAAGATCAAAAGGACGATTAGTAAAATAAAAAAAATTAATAATATTAATTGACCTACTAAGTGATAAAAAAATGATAATTAAACAAATTGGGTCCATCAGTTATACGTGATGAGATACGCATGCTCGGGATACTTTGTACTCCCACCCCTTTGACGAACTGCATGATGCAAGGGATCATGCTTCTTGGGCGCAACCATTACGAAGAAATGCACTTGGTCTAAAAGTGATACATTGCCAAATATAAGAATCTCTATTAGTTTTAATTAATCGTGTCTTGTAAACGTTCGTGCAAAAGGAAATAGAGTGAGGATGCAGGCCAAAGTAAGTCGATTGTTATCAATATCGAGGGTTGAAGTAATCGAATAGATAGTCTCGATTATTATCGAAGTATTAGTACTTTGTTCCGCGTCCCCTCGGACGTATCGATCAGAACTTGGGAACTGTTGCTAACAGCTGTTGCTTTGATTCCATGGCACGAGATGATCTTCTTGTCTACTCGACAATTACAACCCTTTAATTATTATTTATTAGATTTAATATTAATAATCAATTTAAAATAAAAAAATACAATTATATATACACATATAAATAACATATGAAAAATATAAAAAAAATATATTTAACAAATATTACTTTGCAAGGAAGATTATTTCATCTGAATATAGTTTTTTTTTTTTTTCTTTTCATTTTTATTATTCGTTTTTTTTCTGGGTTCAATTATATTTGATTGAATTAAAATTAATCAATGACACGATTGAATAATTCATCTTTTTAATAGAATTTTTCTAGATTATGATTGAAATAATGATTTTTTTATGTTAACAGTAAATGTTTTAATGTTTTTAACAGGACAAAACGGGATTCTTTCTATCAGCAATATTAATTTTATGCATTGGAATTTATTATACCAATGCGAGACACATTATAGCGAAACGAAATTACAGTGATCAGAGTGTCAGAGGATATTTAGCAGAGGTAGGCCAATTAAACGATTAAAAATATTTAAAAAAACAAAATATCAATGCTGCGTCAATGAAACATATTGATTTTTATTAAATGAATCGAAGAGTTTTTCGCAGGATCTCTTTAAAAAATGATAGCACTCAATGTTTGTTTCTTAAATAATAAAATTAAATTTTCTAAGGAAGGATATGCMCCCCCCCCCCTTTCTTCTTGCTTGCTTGCTTGCTTGCCGAAACCCATGCAACTAGCTAGCTAGTTGTATCTTAAATGTTATCTACAAAATTTGGTAAAATATTGATCGACAATATAATCTTATGATGTTTAAGATAAATAAAAAAAATATCTAAGATAATAAATATGAGTAGAGAATGATAAAGAAAAGAAAAATAATAGTTGATAACAACGTTGGATATTATAGAGGACCTGTTGGTGGAACGAAGTATGCAAAGAGGAATTTCATAGTAAATTTCGATGTCGATGTCCAAGGTGGTCTTATTGTCGTTCTCCTGGAAGATATTACGATGCACATTGCAGCATGACGCGCACCGGTTATATTTGGACTCAGCCGGAAACCTCGCTAACTCTGGAAATCGATAAGTAACCGGGACAACACATACATATGTATGTATAGAATATTTCATTCTGTTTACGATATGTCAGATATCGTTTTTAATCGAATCCAATTTTCTCCCACTATTACTACCACCATCACCTCTAACACTATTATCTTCACATGATTTTTAATCTACATTGTTGTTGCACGATTCGATAAACGATTTAATACGATAGAAGAATATTCTATCTAGCGAAATGAAATCAAATGAAATGAAATCAAACGAAATGAAAAATAAGATTTAAGAAATCTTTTGAACGTTTTTATGTAGCATCATAGATAAAATGATAATTAGTATGTTGACTAAATCTATTATAATAATATTATTCAATTGATAATATTCGCACAAGTTATTCATGCGGCACCATGTTGTTATTAATCTAATAATAAGATAATATTCGTGATATTTGAATATTTTTCGACAAATTAATTCATTATTTATTAACGTTCGATTTAAAAGAAAACAAAATGTTCATGCGTGATATTAGATTTTGTCTTATAATCACGTATTATATACTATACACGTTATTGTTATTAATAATAAGGCACATACATGCGATTCTTCATTACTGCCATGAATTTCTAATAGAAAAAACTAATAGAAAAATTAATTTTATTTCTATAGAATAATATTAATAATAATAATAATAATAATTTTTAATACTGTATTAATTTCATCGCAAATAACATCGAATTTTTCGAACAAAAATATATATTTAAATATTTTTCACTAAGGTAAGTTTTATTTACGTCTTCCAAATTGTGACACGACGGTGGTCGTAAAAAAATAAAATAAAAAGAAATATAAGAAATTTATGTGCTAATTTTTAAGCTAATCAAACGTTTCAATCGTATTGATATTTCGCATAAACTATTGGATTGTTCGAGAAAAGATTTCTTTAGCCGTGTTTATTAAATGCCTAACTACACTCTTAATCTCAAAATTATTAGACATTTTAACCAAAAATATTTCATACGTCATTTAGAAGTATCTTCTTGTATTCCAATTCGTCAATTATTTATTTTTTAACATCATTCATTTTGAAATGAAAATCAAAGTGAGCATTATATTACCGATGCTGATTATTGCATAACATTGCAAGACATAGCTGAGATTATTAAATTTGACAATTCTCACACACACACACACACGATCATTTAAAATCTTTTGAATTCTAAATATAAAAAAGATTGTTTTTTATTTATTATCCAAAAAATGAAATTAATTTCCGAACAATCTAATATATTATATACTAACAAAATATTATATATTTGTATATCACACACTGCCACACTTGCTATTTAATATAATATATTTAATATATAATCTTGTTGAAATGAAATGGAAATCAAACTTTTTGAAAGTTGCTTTACTTTATCACGATCTCTTAACGATTAAATTGTAATAGAAATAATAGATAGAACACGAAGGCTCGATTAGATAAAAATTAGATAACGATGGTAAAGGAGATACAATTTTTGTGATACTATTCTATAAAGTTACACGTAATTCTACGAAAAAAAAAAAAAGAAAGAAAAAATAAAAATTAATCAAAAAATTGTACTTTATCATATGTATATCAACATCTTAAACATGTTATAATAAAAATATCTAAATAATAAAACGAAATATTATCGTTTATTGTATTACACGTATACGCAATATTACATATTTGATTTTTCAAATAATTCGAATAATATTGTGATCGTACACGCGTGCATTAAAAATTCCTATCATGATCAAAATTATTTAAATTTTATTTCATTTTTATCTACCAGTATATTTATATAAAATTTATCACAGACTATATACTACACAATATATATTAAACATTAAAAAAAAAGATAAATACTTAAAATTCAATAGAATTTCTTCACAAATAATTAGAATAATAAAATTCTTATAAAGCGAGAAGAAAATTATATATTGGACATTATTTAATTTTTATTTACCACACACACACAACACAGAGAATATATTTGAAATATATTTTAAATTATAATCTGCAAATCAAGAAAAATAAAAATAAAAGTATTTATTTTAAAATAACACTAAAATTCTCTTATGAATTATTGAAATAAAAAATGAGTAAAAATTTCGAACGGGAGAGTAATAAACGAAAACGATGTGACGTAGAAAGGATCAACGAAATGTAGCTTCCAAGATCAAGGCTAATAAGATACGAATAGTGCATAGCACGTATTACGTAAGAGGAGTGACTTTGTCAAGGTCAAGAGGATCTCGTCCAGGAAAAATACGTAGTACATAATAAACTATCTGCGCAATTTGGCCGGGATCGTGATATCAGTTTTATATGCGTGCGCATATCGATTGGCCCACTTGTTCGAGTGGTATGACGAGCAGGTCCTGCCACCGGATCCTGGACCGAGTGCAGTTGGTTTTAAGCGTTCGAAACGTGAACACGTTTACCAGCTGCCGAACTAAAAATCACTTTAATATTCAATTATTTTATTTAGTTCGGTTATATTAATTCTTTACAAAATTTCAATGTTCAATTGTGTTAACAAATTTTGTTCTTTTAACAGTTTCTAACGGGCCTTATAATTATTTCTTTCTCTTACATTGTAAATAAGTTTGTTTTACTTTCTCTCTCTTTTTTTGCAACATCACGTTAGAGATAATTTGTGATAAGTATTGTTTGAAATAATAAAAGAGAAATAAACGAAGAACAAAAGGGTAAGGAAGTGTTTCGATCGTTTAATCTTAAACATTTTTTTTCGAATTTGTATTATTACGTCATATTATTTCTCATATCATCTTTCTTCTCATTTGCGTATACGCATGCGCGAGTTATTGATTGATTTTAAAAAGAAGAGTTTCGAGTAAGTCAGTCGTATGTGAGAATCGAACAATTCAATGCCGAGAAACGTCACCGGTCAAATAATTTTTATTTTCTTAAGTTTATTTCTTTTCGATGATGCGAAGACTTTCGAAATAAATCGATTCTACGAGATTGACTGGCCGTCAGGGTTGCGTCAGTTTGTCCGTTTGGTGAGTTTTTCACACAATTATTTAGTATTTTTTATTGTTAATTAAGTTTTTCCATTTTTTTTTGCAAAAGTTTACATTGAAATTGATTGAAATTGTTATTCATTTTTTTGTAGGAAGAACCGTTGAAACCGGTGAAGAATTCTTTTTGGCAAGGACCGACACATCTTGGTCATATATCTGGAGTCTCGGTGGATCCTTCGGGATATCCTGTGATCTTCCATCGTGCCGATCGACTCTGGGGATTCTTGTAGGCATTTTATATTTTTTATATTTCAAATATATTCTTTCATGAAAATCTATGAAATCTTTAATGCAAACATTATGGCAATGAACAATTAATTTTATTAAAAAAGAAGTTAAATATATTGATTGGTACGAAATTAAAAAGAAAGCCAAAAAAAATATATGCGAAGAAGGGGGGGGGGTTGAAAAGTTTTGAGCTTAACGCAGTAATAATTCTTTCTCGGTAAGATACTTTTTTAACAAAAATAAAAAGTTGTTGTTGTCGTGTAGCTCGAAACTTTTCAATCTACTTACTTATTATAAAATATCTATAATAAAATAAATAAATGAAAAAAAAAAAATATATACATATATATATATATATATATATACAAAAAAAAATATATATATATATATATATATATATATATTTACAATAAGCGTAGAAATAATGAGAGAAAAACATTTCGTATGTTAGGATAGTGAGAGTAAATTTTTAATTATTTTTTATATGTGTAATAAAAAAAAAAAGTTAGTATATGTAGATACATGTATAGATAAGTAAAAAATGAATTAGGTAATGATTGCGTTAAGATGATGTGATAGTCATTTATAAAATATACAAATTTGATTAAAGTACCTTCACCAAAAGCAACCATTATACGGAACAAGCTAAAGGACCGATCACTGAAAATACCGTACTAAAGTTACATCCAAAAACTGGGGATATTTTACGTGGTTGGGGAAATAACACGTTCTATTTTCCGCATGGTATACACATTGATAATTTTGGAAACGTGTGGTTGACCGATATTGCTCTTCATCAGGTTTTTAAGGTAACGATCATGATCATAATTAGAATTTCTTTTATCTCCTATTTGTTTTCAAAACTAAAATTCGTGAAACAAATTTGCGTGATATAATTCTATGTGGGATTATCTTCAAATCATTATATAAATTAAAAAAGAAGTAATTGTAACTAATTAATTAATTATTCGAATTTTTTTTGGATATTAATTGAAAACCAACAGGTGATAAAAATGAAATGATTTGTACGAGCTAATTTTTGCTTGGTTTTTTTTTTTTTTTTCTTATTTCGATTTCAAATATAGTACGATAGTTCTGGAATACTGAAGTTGTCACTCGGGGAACCTTTCGAGCCAGGAAATGATCTTAATCATTTTTGCCAACCAACATCTGTCGCGGTGTCCTCGTCAACCGGCGAGATTTTCATCGCTGATGGTTACTGCAATAGCAGGATTGTTCTCTTCGATTCTATGGGAAATCCAAAATACAGCATTGATAAAAGTACGTCTTTGTCCTAATGTTGTTACAAAATCCGTATCATTCATCAATTGTTAACATTATCGTATTAGTTTTTCCTGCCATACACCCTCCTACCTTTCCACCCAATTTTTTTTTTATCTTTTTATTGTTCTATTGTCTATTGTTTTATCAGAGAGAGAGAGAGAGAGAGATAGTCCTTATTTAACTGTTAAAAGATACATTATATTCGACTAAGATATTTTGTTTGTTTGTTATTAATTAAAATATGTAGCCTTGAAATTATTTTCATATTAAATTATAAAAATAACTTTTCGAACGAGTTAATATTTTTTGTTAGTGAGTTTGTTAATATCATATGTATTTGATCTTATCGAGTTTGATTTGTCATAGATCGTTGATAATATTTAGCCAGTTAAGTTGGAACAATTAGTATTAATCAAATGAATGTAAATTTGTTTAGGTACGATGATTTTAAACATACCACATTCATTAACAATATTGTCAAATGGAGATCTCTGTGTTGCTGATCGAGAAAATGAAAGAGTCGTTTGCATAATTGGACTTACTGGATCTAAGACTGTATTCGCTGGAAGAAAATATTCTATTCCAGTTCCTGGCCGAGTTTTTGCCATTGCTTCCTACAGTGAGTTTTTTTTTTTTTATTATAATTGTGTGTTTATTATTATTATTATATATTGTTTTTAAACATAGAGTAAAGGGTCAAAAGTTTTTAAAATAATTTGAAATTCATTTTTTCAATGTTACTCAAGGATTAGAAACTTTCGGGAGCACTTTTATTTAATATAAATAATTAAATTTATTAAATACTCTCACAAATTTTCTTTTTCCAACAATTGTCGCGTTAAAAATTAATGCGATTTCTAGTTTTTTTTTTAAAAATATCTAATAATGAATCATTGGAAAATATAAATGAATTTTTGAAAAAAAGAAAAAGAAAAAGAAAATGAAATTATTTTTTCGACAAAAGCTTACTTTATATATAAAAGAAAAAAAGATAATAAAAATTATAATAAATAATTTGATCAAAACAGATGATACAATTTACACCGTGAACAAGATGATGTGCGAGTATTGTGCAATGGGCTACATGATAAATCCATACATTCAACAAGTCGTTAATATGTGGTCATCCGGATTTGTAAGTTAATCATTCATCCAACATCATTAATCTTTATATTGCATTATTATCAAATCATATAAGAAAATAATGAAAAGAACATTTTTTTTCAAGTTAATTTAATTCTTTTCGTTAAAACACACGTACATACAGTTTTCATCATTTTCCTTTATCCAGGATTTCCATAATCCACATGACATCGGAATATGTCAGAACAGTAAGTCATTGTACGTCAGTGAGATCGGTCCTAATCGAGTATGGAAATTCGATTTGATAAAAAAACGTTGAAAGGGACGAAGATAATGTGATTGAGGAACGATTTTTGACACTCATAATGAAGGCTGAAAGTAAGTCCAAAATAAAAAATTAATCGAAAAAATAAAGAACAAAAAAAAAATAGAAAAAAAAAAAACAAAGAAAAAACAACCGCCCCCAAAAAAAGAAAATAAAAGAAAGAGATACAATGAGAGAGAGAGAGAGAGAGAGAGATGAAGAAAATGAAGAAGAAGAAGAAGGAGACAAAAAAAATCAATTATAAAAATCAGAGATGTCCATTATGTACAAGTGCATGGGTAAAATATATGATTATGGTACGTCACCGTAAAAATTATTCTTTTTTTAACCGACAACGAGTTATGGGAAAACACAGCTGATAATATATTATAGAAATGTTTTTATGATAATGAAGAAAATTCAAACAAATTTTGTACAAAATCGATGAATATGAAATTGTTTTTAATCGTCTATGGGAAAATTTCTGATAGAAAAAAATTTTTTTGAAGAAAAAGAAGAAGACAAATATTAAATAACAAAGTGCAGAGACCCATGCATACATAAATGGACAAATATTGAAACAGCATACAAATATACTTAACTGATAACAAAATTGTCCCTAACTGAGTACTGGAAAAAAACTTAGTTTCGATAAAAAAAAACTTCGCCTCGAAGGAGCGGACGAAGAACGATCGACGCGAGAAGTACATCAGTTAAAAACAATTACAAAAAAAAAGACAAAAAAAAAATTAAAAAAAAGAAAACATAAATTCCCCCCTCAAAAAAATCCAAAAAAAAATGGAAAAATTGATGGAAAAAATTAAAAAAAAAAAAAAAAAAAAAAAAAGAAAAAATAAATAAATAAAAGAGAGAGAAAGTGAGAGAGTTTGAGAGAGAGAGAGAGAGAGAAGAAAGATAGAATGAAGAAAAATCAAATACCAAAGAATTGAATACGTTATAATTAAAAATTATATTTAATTATATTTGTTCGCGCGAGGAAAAAAGATCGTGGAACGATGGCGGCAATGGATTGCAACAACAACACAACAACAATATTGACGAAAAAAATTCTCATAAAGGTAGGAAATGAGTAAGGATAAAAATTGAATAAAAAAAAAAAAAAAAAAAAAAAAAAAAAAAAAAAAAAAAAA